AAACTGAGGGAACCGGGACGAACTGGGAGGGACTGGGAAACTGGGGGGACTGGGATGAACTGGGAAACTTGCGGGGACTGGGAGGGACTGGGAAACTTGGTGGGACTGGAAAACTGGGGGGACTGAGAAACTTGGGGGACTGGGACAACTGGGATTTACTGGGAAACTGGAAGCAAGGGGGAACTGGGAACACCTGCGTGAACTGGGACTGCTGGGGGAACTGGGATCAACGGGGACAATCAACATGAAATGGGGGAACTGGGACTGTGAGAAGTAACTGGGAGTGACTGGAGGAAATTAAACTCATGAAAGGCACTGGGACCAACTGGTGTAACTGGGATGGGGGTACTGGGATGAGCCAGGACGGGGTGAACTGGGAGTACTGGGAGGGCACTGTGATGGGAGGGGGCTCTGTCGTGTCCCTCAGTGTCCACTCGTCGGGGTCCTGGGGGTTACTGGGGGGTCCTGGGTGGCCCCAGAAGAGGGGGGGATCCCCCAAACCCCACCTGGCCCTGGCTGCTCCAGGGCCCTTCCTCCTCCTCCTCCTCCTCCTGCTGCTGCTGCTGCTCCTCCCTGTGCCCCCGGCGCTGCTTTTGGGGGGTCCCTGGGGGTCACAGGGAGGTTTCAGTGCCCTGGGGGGGCTTTGGGGACCCTCTCCCACCCCCCATTTCCCCCTCACCCCCGCGGGGCAGCCCCGGCCGCTGTGACACCTCGGCCCACCTGCGGCGCGCGGCCACCGCCAGCGCCGGCGTGTCCTGCACCTGTGGGGGGACACGGTGACACAGGGGACACCCCCAAAACCTCCCCGACCCCGGGGGGAGCCCCCCCGAACCCCCAAACCTGCAGGGCGCCCAGGCAGGCGCTGCGGAAGCGGGCGCTGGAGCTGGCGGCCACCACGGCCGTGACCGCGGCCACTGCCAGGGCCTGGGCTCGGGCCACGCGCTGCTGGGCCTGCAGGGGGGGATTTGGGGGGGTCACCGGCGGTCTGGGGGGGTCGGGGGGACCCCAAAGCCCCGCACCCACCTGGTGCTGGCGGTGCAGCCCCCCCAGGAGGGGGTGCAGGAGCGCCCGGAGCCCCCGGGCCAGCGCGGGGCGACCGAGGCGGAGCGTGGGGTCCAGCTGGGCCAGGAGCAGCCGGCGCATCCCTGGGGACAGCCCGGGTTTGGGGGGACCCCCGGATCGGGGGGACACCCCTGAACCACGGGGACACCCCCAGAGCTTGAGGATACCCCAAAATCGGGGTCGCCCCCCTTACCTGTGTCGTAGCCCCCAAAGGGGTCCCGGTGCCGCAGGAAGAGGAAAACCAGGAGGGTTTTGGGGACCCCCTCAGGGGGGGTTTGGGGGTCCCCGTCCCCCTCAGGGGGGGCCCAGCGCACCCCAAAAGTGACATCGGGGAGCACCGGCTCTGTGGGGACAACACGGGGGGGCTGAGGGGGGAGAACCCCGAAATTCCCCCCAAAATCCTCCCCAAAAAATCCCTGGAACTGCACGGACCATCCTCATCCTCACAGGAGCCTCGAGGGTCGGTGGGGATTTTGGGATCCGCGGGGTTTTTGGGGTTCGGAGGGGTTGCAGCCAGGCCGAAGCCCCCCCAGTCCCCCAGCAGGGAGGGGTCCCTCAGTGCTGGGGGGGCCGGGGGGGGCACGGGGACCCCTGCGGGGTCAAACAGGTAAAGGTGGGAAGGTCAAGGAGAACAACGGGGGGGAGACGGGACCCCCCCAAAATCCCCCAGAACCCCAAATCCCACCTGGACACCCCGAGATCTCCCAGGGAACCCACCCCGAACACCCCAAATCCCACCCCAGGACCCCAAATGCCACCCCGAACACCCCAAATGCCACCCCGAGCACCCCAATCCCCCCGGAGCCCCCAGCCCCGGATATTTGCACTCTGCCGAGGGGGGGTCCAGCCCCGGGGGGGGTCCCGGGGGGGGTCCCGGGGGGGCTGAGGGCGCTGAGCGGGAGCAGCTCCAGGTCCCCCCCAAAACCGGCGGCCGCCAGCGGGGGGGGCAGCGGCAGCGGCAGCGGCGGCCCCGGGGACGGGCGGAGGCGGCGGCGGCGGCGGGGCGGCCTGGGGGGAGCCACCAGTACGGACCAGTTTGGACCAGTACAGCCCAATCTACCCCAGACCCAGCCCAGTTTGACCCTGTACTGCTCCCCTGCCTTGTCCCAGTTTATCCCTCTCTGTCCCAGTTCATTCCAGTCCCATCTCAGTCCCCCCCAGTCCCATCCCAATCCCATCCCAGTCCCTCCCAGTCCCTCCCAGTCCGTACCCAGTGAAGTGCTGGCTCTGCACCCTCAGCCTCATTCCTGCCTGTGTCCAGGGCTGCTCCGGCCTGGGGGACATGGGGGGTGGGTGACCCCAGTTTGGGGGTCCCCAGGACTGGATGGGAAATCCCAGTTTGGGAGACCCCAAGGTGGGGGTGTCCCAAATTTGGGGGGGGTCCAAGGGGGTCTCACCTGAGGGTTCTGGATGTGACGTTCCCATCGATGCTGACACAGAAATGAAACTCGACCTGGGGAGGGCTCGGGGGGGTCACTGGGGAACCCCCCCCACATTCTGGGGATCCCCCCAGCCCCCCTGGGACCCCCAAACCCCCCCCAGTACCTCGGGGTGCACGAGGCTGGTCCGGTGCAGGAGCTGCCACAGGGACCCCCGGGTGGGGCTCAGCGGGGGGGGGTGACAGATCTGGGGGGGCACAGAGGGGCTGGGGGGGACCCCAGAACCCCCCACAACCCCCGGAGGGGGCAGATCTTGAGGGTTCGAGGGCACCCCATTGCCCCCTAAAGGAACTGAGCCCAGTTTGGGGGGTCCCATCCCATCCCCCCTCCTCCCCCCGTGTGTTTTGGGGGGTCCCAGTCCCCCTCGTGACCCCATTTCCCCTCCCCCCACAATGACCCCATTATTTCCCCCCCCCTCCCCCCCAAATCCAGGCCACCCCGACTATTTTTATCCTCCTGCCCCAATTCCCACTCCCGGGGGGCTCCCGGGGCCCCCCCGACCCCAATTCCCTCCCCCAAGGTGACTTTGGGGAGCTGGGAAAAAGAACAGAGAGAGGGGGGACCCCAAAATTCCCCCTAGGCCCCCCCAAACTCACCTGGAAGCTCCTTTGCACCTGAGCCTGGGCCAGGATCTGCCCGCAGCAGGAGGGGAGATCTGGGGGGGCTCCCGGCAGCTCCTGCACCCCCCGGGGGGCTGGGAGGGATTTTGGGGGGTTTAGGGGACTTGTGGGGGGGGGTCGGGAGGATTTTAAGGGGGTTTAGGGCATCCCCATTAGGGCAGGGGAGGAGGTTCAGAGGATTTAGGGGGGCCCCAGAGAGGTCTTGGGGGGCCTTGGGGAGTTCTTCAAGGAGCTGGGGGTGTCCTTGGGAGGGTCCCAGAGAGGTTTTTGGAGGTCTCGGGGGGATTTTGGGGGGTCTCTTACCCCCCTCCAGCGCTTCAGGGTCGAGGTCACGGCCGAGGGGTCCCGTGGCCGCCACTGGGAAAAGGGAGGGGGATTAAAAAAGAAATTGTAAAAAGCCTGCGCCCCCCAAGACCCCTGAAAATCCCCCACCCACCTGTGAGGGTGCAGGGGGAGCCCCCCGGGCCCCCCCCCGCTGCCAGGGCCACCAGCAGAGCTCCCGGTCGGGCCTTCCCAGGTATGGGGGTCCCCAGGGCCACCAGGAGCTGCTCCAGAACCTGCGGGGAGACCCCAAAACCCCCCCAAAGAAACCCCTGGAGCCCCTTCCCCGAGACCTCCCTCCTTCCAAGTGAGCCCTGACTCACCCAGAGACCCCCAAAGCCTCCCCAAATGTCTCTGGGGACCCCCAAGACCCCCCCAAATCCCTTCCAAAACCTCCCCTGTGACCCTTGAGCCCTCACAGAGATCTCCCCAATCCCCCGACCTCTCATAACAACCCCTCAGAGACCCCCAAGGGGCCCCCAACACATTTTAGTGACCAGTGACCCCTCACAGTGACCCCCAGAGATCCCTCCCCAATACCCGACAAGCCCCACAGCCCTCCTTAGGAACCCCTCAGAACCCCCATAACCACTCCCAGGGACCCCCAAACCTCCCACAACCCCTCTAGTGATCCTTGACCCCACAAAACCCCACAAAATGTCCCCAAACCCCCTCACTCCCCTCACGGCCTCCTCCGCCATCTTGGCTTCGCTCTCCCCCTCATCCCTCGAGCGCCCCCTGGCGGGCGGGAAACCCACCCTCAGAACCCCCATAACCACACTCGGGGACCCCCAAAGTTCCTGCAACCTTCTCTAGTGATCCTTGACCCCACAAAACCCCACAAAACCCCACAAAATGCCCCTCACCCCCCTCACGGCCTCCTCCGCCATCTTGGCTTCGCTCTCCCCCTCATCCCTCGAGCGCCCCCTGGCGGGCGGGAAGCGCGGGTGGCGGGAAAATCCCTGAGGGAGGCGTGGCCTCGGCACTGTCGCCATGGCAACAAGCAGAGCTGGGCGTGGCTGTTTGGGGGGCTGAGGGGCGTGGTTTCCGCAGGCCCCGCCCCCCGGGGTGTGATGAGCTCCCGCGGTCTCAGCGC